AACAAAGTTACAGTCATAAGTGAGAGTTACAGTTATAAGTGAGAGGAGATGGGTGATAGGAACAATAAGATGATTAATAGAAATAGTAATGCAGACTTAGTAAATAGTTTGACAGTGTTGAGGGAATTATTTGTTTAGTAGAGTGATGGCGTTGGGCGAAAAACTGTTCTTGTGTCTAGTTGTTTTGGTGTGCAGTGCTCTATAGTGTCATTTTGAGGGTTATGTTACTGTAACCTTACAATAAAGATGTCAGTACTCATGTTTTTGTTTTCTTGGCTGGATTACCTCAAAGAGATATGACCTATGTAGAAAATATAGTAATGTTTCAAATATAGTTTATGTTCTTATTGTACTTTTACAATCTATTTTGTTTTTTACATGGAATAGTATGTGAAAAACTTAGTGTGTTAAACTAAGTAACTGAATTTTTAAATCTAAGAACATTAAGATTTTTTATACATGGCAGAAGGTAAAAAGAGTTATTATATAATAATGGAAGTCGAATCCACTCCTAACTTCTAGAAATAGATACCTGATGTGTGCAACTCTTCAAAATGTCTTGAGGGAAGTTCAAGCAAGAAATAGTATTTTTGAGTAAGTTGGTCAATTTTTTTGAAAAAGTTTTGCAACTGGAATGTATTTTTTTTAATTTTTCTTTGGTTAATTCATTTGAAGTATGTTGAACGTATTCTAACCACGAGTTTGTCTAATTTTTTTTGAAACATTCTAACAGGGTAGCTAGCCGTATCTACTTTATACTAATGAATTTTAACCAAAAATGTAAAACATTTCCCTTATCTTCCTAATCTCTCATTCAAATTCACTGGATGAATTCAGATTATACAGGTAGTTCTTGAGTTATGACCACAATTGAGCTCAAAATTTATATTGCTAAGTGAAACATTTGTTAAGTGAGTTTGCCCCATTTTAAAACTTTTCTTGCCATAGTTGTTAAGTAAATCATTGCACTTGTTATGGTTGTTAGATGAATCTGGATTCTCCATTGGATTTGCTTCATAGAAGGTCACAAAAGGAGATCACATGACTCCAAGACACTGCAATTGTCACAAATATGAACCAGTTGCCAAGCATATGAATTTTAATCACGTGACCATGGGGATGCTGCAACAGTTATAAGTGTAAAAAATGGTCATAAATTACTTCTTTCAGTGCTGTTATAACTTTGCATGGTTACTGAATGAACTGTTGTAAGTCAAGGACTACCTGTAGTATTCAGGGAATACTTCCCCTCAAACATGCATCATTTAAAACAGCAACATAATGCTCCATAACTGCTTTTTTTCCTACGCTAAAAAGCTTCAATTATTTTAATCTTTTTGCACTTAAGGTGTTGCCTTTGGTCATCATGGTTACTCTGCACTTTCTTAGGTCCCATGATGTCCTTCTTGAGGCAATTATGAGGACAGAGGTGAGGTGATCAAGTGAGTCCAAAGGTACAAAGTCATATAATATCGACAGTTTTATTTTTATTTCTTTCCTAATGATTCTCAATATAGCATTTGCCTTTCCTCAAGCATCCTTATGCCACATTGACATTTTCATTAAGCTGTCTTCTTACCTGAAGCCCCCTTATCTCAGAAAGAGGCTGAGTTCACTGGGGAACATTCTCTGCAATACTCAGCAGCTTAGCAGTAGGATTCAACCAAGAAGTGAAGGGCCTGCTGAGATCCATTGTATGCAAACAGCTCAATATTAACCATCAAAAAATGGTCTTTATATTGAGTCTGAATTCTTGACCCTACTTACTTTTGTTTTACCACACACAAAGCTCTTTTCTACTTTAGTTTTATGGCTCTCTTAACCTACGTACTTCTTTATAGTGAAGTATTTACTATAATGTAAATTTATAGCACAAGTATTCTTTTAGACATAGCTATTTTGATTAGCACGTCATATTTTCTGCTTTTCTTTCTTTTCACCAACATTTGCACATATTAAAATGTCTTCATCTATTATCTCTTTATTAAACATTGTACCAAGGTACACAAGGATGAACAATAGACAAATCAAATTTCATTTAAAAATGGGGTTGCATAATTACGGTAACTAATATGCTGATATGGAACGGTACTTTGGTTTATGTATGTATGTATGTGCATATACGTATACACAAAACTAAGCTATACTCAGACATAATAAAAGCTATCCCTGGAAAACTTGCAATAACCACCCAATTTTGTATTAAAAAAAATAGTATCAGTCTTCCATAATATCACAAAATACTTCATTGCTACATATTGTATTTATTAGGATGGAACACAGGAAATCAAATTCAGATGCTGTTAATTTAATTAATTTCATTTAATACATTAACTTGAATAAACATTTTAAAATGATTCATAAACAAGATTAACAGTCTTTTTGCATAATATCGTAAAAAAATTAAAAAACTATTTCCCCTACAAATTATTTTATGCTATTTTGTAGTTTATGTTTTCCCATACTAGCTTAAAATTGGTATCTCCAGCTATTATTTATGGTAATAAAAGTATTCTTCCACTTTAATATTCCTGAAGCTAAAAAAAAATAAAATATATATTCAAAGAATATACAATCTTCCTGTTTCTTTAGTAATTCATATTTTTTTAAGTAAAGGAGAATATTCCAAAGGAGAAAGTTGACTTCTCAGTAAAATTTCTAAAAGAAAACCATGTACATGCATGTTGTAAAATACTAGGTTTGATTACAACAGAAAAAGACTGAACAGTGATAGGGTAAACTACTTGTCATACCTATTTAGGTTACAGCTCTTTTCATTCTATGCTGAAGGAAAATACCAATCTATCTTATTGGAAACATTTGTACAGAATGTCATGTCTAACACAGAAAACAACTGCAGGAGGATTTTTATAGTACAAGGAATATAGCCCAAGGAATATTTCTATGCTGCGGCAATCAAAAATTACTTTTGGAGGCTCACATAAAAACACTATATAAAAAATAAAAACAGTGAAATTACGCAAATGAAAAGAAAATAGAATATAGCAACCACAAATCATGGGAAGTGTTTCTGCAAAGGCTTGGTTTTTAGAAACTTTCCCCAGCATAGGGGAAGCCAGCTTGACCTCCATTGAGAGGCTATTCCACAATTCCAGCATTTCAGCAGAATAGCAGCACCTCCTTGTCTCAAAACCAAAATATGGGAAATATTAATACTACAAATTCATGTTTATTATTAACCACAAAATCATATCTAGAGAGGATTGCAGGGCGCAATCTTACCAGTTTACCAAATAAGGTTGATTCTATCCACTAATGAAAAACCTATTCGCATTTGGAATGTTGATAGCATTATTGTTGATCGCAAAAAATGATGGGAGAGAGGTACACGTTAATATAATAACCCAGGTTCCCCCCCTCCCCAAGATATGCTTATGGAATCTATGTGGAACTCAAGAGCTATTCTTGAAAATAAAGATGTTGCTAAGTAGACATAGGATTGGAACTAATGCAACAATCTTGTTTATCTATATATTTAAATTAAACAGCCCTGAGCTATATAGTTTAATCCTCCCTCTCTATTTTTTTTAGTCCACATCTAGAATACTGTCCTTATTCCTGGAAGGATATTGACAAACTGGAGTGTGTCCAGCAGAAAGCAACCAAAGCAATTAGGGTCCTGGAAGGAAAAATTTATGAGGAACACTTGGAGACATTTGGTATATTTAGTCTGGAGAAGAGAAGACTGCAGTCAGACATGCATTTGAATGCCTGCCATGTAGAAGATAGGGTAGATTTGCTTCATGTTGTTTCAGAACACAAGCCGAAAATAAATGGATTTAAATTACAATGAAGCAAATTTTGATTGGATATTAAGGAACATTTCCTAGTGGGCAAGCTGTTCTGTAGTGGAATAGGTTGCAGTGGGAGAGGGTGTGGATTTTCTTCGCTGGAAGAACTTAAACAGAAACTGAATGGGCATCTCTTGGAGATGTAGTAATAAGATTTCTACACTAAATGTGGAACTGATTATTGTCTTCAATTTCAACAACTTCTAGTTATATGAAATTTAATTCTTAGAATTCTCAGCAATGGTCATCTTGGCTGTGGGATTCTGGGATCTGAGTTCTTGCATCTGGAAGTTACCAAAGTTGGGAAATACCAGATCTGCAAGTTGAGTTGCAATCATTATATATTCTGATTCTACGTGTGCTTTAGGAAATACAATAAAGGTAATAGGATTGTCCACTTCTGTTCAGATAAAAGCACACCAAAAATACATTGTTAATTAATTTCAGACCACATAAGCCAGCAAATATTATTACAATATTTGGCATTGCATATTATATATTTCACTAGGGCTATAACACAAATTATTTTATCTACAATTGCACTGGATTCATCTGCTTTTTTGTACCGATTTGAAGTTTACTCTAACTAACCTCTTTAAAATAGGCATCTTTGCACAAGAATGTGGCAGTAGTTGTAAGAATACTATATTAAGTATGATACTTTTATGAAAGAGCATTCTAGCAATTATGTTTTTATGACTTTCTAGCAATAATGTTTTTTATGGCTAAGAAATGAGAACAAATCATAAAGTGAATTATCAATATTTGTTATTAATACAGGTAGTCCTCGACTTACAACAGTTCATTTAGTGAGAATTTGAAGTTACAACGGCACTGAGAAAACACTTATGACTGTAGCAGCATCCCCAGTTATGTGATTTACATTCGGATGCTTGACAACTGACTCACTTTTATGACGGTTGCAGTGTCCCAGAGTCATGTGATCTCCTTGTGACCTTCTGACAAGCAAAGTGAGTGGAGAAACCAGATTCACTTAACAACTATGTTACTAATTTAAGAACTGCAGTGATTCATTTAACAAATGGGGCAAAAAAAGCTGTAAAATGGGGCAAAATTCACTTAACAAATTTCTCACAGAACAACATAAATTTTGGATTCAATTTGGTTGTAAATTGAGGACTACCTGTACTAAAAAAATTAAATGTATGTAATGTGATAAATATAGAGAATAATTGCTGAAAATGTGAGCACAGAATTTGAACAACCAAAAACTATTATACTGAACAGATATACCATACCTTGGACACATTTTGACAAATCACGTAAATTAAACACATAATGAGATTTTGCTGGTGTTGGGAGCAGATCAATGCTCATTCTTTGATATATTTCAACAGCAGCCTCCACTATACTACTTGCACACTGCTTTACTGCTTGGGCAAATTCAGCTAGGAAGCCTTTCAGAATTGCCTAGACCAAGGGAAAAATAATACAAAACACAAAGCTAAATATTTAATTTTGTTTCTTTCTTTTACAAGAGTTTTGATTTTACAAAATCACTAAAAGTGAATCTACAGCTCCACAACAACCCCAAATAACCAAAATCTGTAAAAAGTGCTGAAATTCTTCATCTAACTCTGAGTACCATTTCTACATCTACCAAAATTCCCAATTAATTATGATGGGAGTGCCAATTCATAATTTGCAAACAAATTAAAGCTATAAGGAAGCATCTGAAAGCAAGAGCATTATGTTTCATTGCCAAACACACACAAGGTTCTGGATCAATGCAGCTGATGGAAAAAATTCCATTGTGCACCAAAGCAATTCATCCATTCACAGCTGGAACATATAGATTTGGCTTGCAGTGTTGCTTTTTAAATACTATAATTTTCTTTAATTTGTAAAGCTACAGAAAGAAAGAATGCATCTGGAAGGTATGCAGAGAACATTATCTGTACAAATGAGCATTAAGTGTACTAATGTTTTTTAACCTTGAAAACCTTTTCTTCAGAAAAAAACGATCGGAAAAAAAGGTATATTTTGTCAGTTTGAACATAAGGCAGTCTTGTCTAAACCTGTTTATTTAAAAGATATGTACGGGGCACCCATTTTAAGAATAAAACTCTCAGCAGAACAAAACAATACTAAAAACCAAAAAAGCAATTAAAACAACAAAGCCAAAAGCAGAAACCTGGGTCTGGTTGTTTATTTATACAGGTACATTTGCTACCTTACATTCTGATCTAAATGAAATTACCAGCAGCTTTAGCCCAGCTGTCTATCTGGATCTAGCACTGCACAATAATATGCTAAGACAGAAAACCCAAAGAAATACTGTGTTTCTTTTATGTACATAGATAGTGGTACTCACCTGAAAAATTTGTTTAAGGCTATGTTCAGAGGGCGTTGGAAGGCACAGCATAGCAAAATGTCTTATGAAACGTGGGGTAACTGGATTACGTCCACCACCAGGAGGTGCACAAGCTGAACAAATAGTTACATCCTGGGAAGAAGATGATTTGTGTGAGAAGTTAATAATCTGTGGTGCTATTACTTCTAAAGATCTCTGTCTCAAATAATATATTTATAAGTAGACCATAACTCAGTATACTTTATTGAGATATTCTATTCTAGAGTATATGTAGAGTATATCTAGAATATTTAATAGAAGATATTCTATTCTTACGCCAATTTTTAATTTGGTATCAAAATACCTGTACTATGAGCACAAAGGTTTAGCTCAAGTTTGTACAATTCTGTGTGCTTCTGCGGTTTTCAATATAAAGGAATCCAGATGGCATAACACAAGGAACTTGACAAATATTGGCCTAGGCAAGTACAAGATTAATTTGATCAGAAAACTGCTGTCCTCTAGTGGATTGTTTCTTCTGGTGTTTAAATTTCAGGAAAAAATCAGCAGATTTTACCTTCGTCACAGCACAACTACTGACTGTAACCAGACATTAATAAATTAGGGAAAAATACATAGTGTCTTGCAGAGTATTCAAAACAAGTGCTTTAAAAAATGTACTATTAGTAATGGAACATCTCTTTAATGTGTTAAAATAGGCCCTGTCTCAGTCTATTTCTGGTCCTCTGTTCATGTGTGCATAGGCACTTAGATAGTCCCAGCAGAAACATTATCTTGGAATATATGTCGTGCCCAGCATATAATTTGTGTATATACTGTTGTTGTTCTCTATCCCCATCTAGTGGCCAGGGTCAAATACCAATCTGTATTGTTTGGAAGCTCACCCACCCCTTTAAGAGTCATCTATCCATGAACACTCACTCCCAAAACATCCTGGGATGTTTTGCATCCTGGGAAATCAGACTCCATTTCCTTTAACATTCAGAAGGAAACAGAAGAATCAGGAAGAACTTCATTCATTCATTCATTCATTCATTCATTCATTCATTCATTCATTCATTCATTTTTGTATGTATTTCTATTTTCCTTTAATAAAGCATCCTGATCTACACACAGAGTCTGTTTTATTGGAGGATAGTTAGTTTAACTGCATGCCAAGCTACAAACAGTGTAATGTGTAGCGATGACAAAACAATATACACACAGAAAGCCCAACCCAACCTTTAAACCAACTGTTCAGCCTTGCAAAGGATGCAGCTTTGCAGAATCCTATACACTATGTCACTGCCACCTCTTAGTCCACTTCTGGCAAGGTACAGCTGCATTCCTGGTAAGCTCCCCATATTATTTGGCAGTTTGCCAAGAATATGATCGCCTGGGAGAAGAGAGCATACAAAGGTCAAGCGCATTCGCTATTTCATCATGCTCCTTTCCGCTGTAATTGTCATGTGCCCTCTGATACAGGTCTGGAAATCCAACACACTGAAAAAAAGGGCACACGAGGGAGGTCACCTTCACCCATTCTCCTTTCCATCCTAATCATTCACATGGTAATGAGGTGAAGGATTGGGAAGCACTGGGCACCTGTGGTAGTCCTCCAGGATTGGGCGGCCTATAAATCTAATAAATTGAATTGAATTGAATTGGTGACGTAAATAGCTTTTAGGCCTTAAGGCAGCCCAGAAATGCCAGGACACACAAGCGCCCAGGAGATAATACCATTAAGAGCTTTTTCTCTGAAACAGAATAGTTTATAACACATGGTTGCTTTTCTTGAAAACAAAAAAAGGAAATGATATATCATTCTTGCCTCCATTTCTCCTGAGGGTCCCTCCTGCTAGTTATATCTGATCCAACCTGATATTTTGTCTTAAGGCTAGGAGATGCATGCTAGTAATGGAGGTCGATGGGTAGCCAACGCTGAACATTTACAGTCCATTTTGGAGCATAAGTTGAAGGATTACACATCAAAATAGGAGCCCCAGGCCTTATAGAGTTTTAACATAACCTTTTTGATTTTCATGTTAGACCAAATATTGCTAAAGAATGCACCTCTGAAAAGCAGCCATTTTGTCCCTGAGTGTTGGCAGATTGATATGGCATGATATGATATCTACCTGGACCAAACATACACTGAAAAGAAAATATCAGATGAAACAATATTTGAGCTTCCAGATGGAAGAACGGGATATGGAGGTAATACACATGCCTGCAGCTACTTGCAAGGGAATGTTCACAATTTCTGTTATGAACATAGCTTCTCTCCAAATTTACCTTCTCCTGCTGCTACAATTGTTTACAATCCTTGGGAGTCGGGCTGTTATTTAAATAATAAGAACAAGAGTTGATAAATCTTCCAAATGCATTGACACTTTTTGGTAAATCTGTGTGCACAAAAATATGGCATAGATATACAGAGAGAACAATAATAAATTAACAGCTTGTTCTACAGGGCAAAGCCTCCATTATATGCCGCAGTGTTCCTTGCTTATATGAACTAGAGTGAAGAATGTCTTACAGAAACAACAAGCCTCAAAATGCTACATGCATCGGAATCCAGCCCTTGGGAAGGAGGACTGTAATTAGCACTATTTATAGCATGTTTCTAATGAAACATGGAATTAGAACAGTCAGAGGCACTGAAAATAGACTTACATGGATCTCCTTCCAAAACAGTTTATCTCGGTCATAGAATCCTCCAAAGTCTTGGTACTGTCTAAGTAGTTCAATAGGGGGCTGTGAGCCATAACGATCCAGTTTCGGCATGTTTAAATCATCCACAAAAATGACCACTCTTTTTTTCCCTGGTGCTCCTAAACAATACATGAGTAAAGAAACCACTGCTGGTAAGCCTTGCCATATAATAAAGATGCATATATCAAATATTTAGTATTTTGGTGTGCATTAATTCTGCTAACTCTACAATCCTTATTCTTCAAATGTTTGTTTATACTTAGCAATGTTGAAAAATCCTAAAGCAAAGCTTTCCACAGGAATAAGCCCTACCACAAATTCTGTGAAGCTCCATTTAGGTCCTTGAGGGTAAACAGATGCCATATAAGGCAGAAAGTGAGGCACATTTCTCACAGTAGGCTGAAAAAAAATCTGCCTGAAAAAGGATGGTGGGTAGATTGTGTGAAAGCACACACCATAGCAATAGCAATAAGACTTATATACCGCTTCATAGGGCTTTCAGCCCTCTCTAAGCGGTTTACAGAGTCAGCATATTGCCCCCACCGTCTGGGTCCTCATTTTACCCACCTCGGAAGGATGGAAGGCTGAGTCAACCTTGAGCCAGTGAGATTTGAACCGCCGAACTGCAGCTAGCAGTCAGCTGAAGTGGCTGCAATACTGCACTCTAACCACTGCGCCACCTCGCCATCATCATTTTGAAGAGCCACACTTGAAGTAGCCAGTCTCTTTCTCCCATTTACCACACATTTATGCTTGTTGATGGAAGGGCAGACTGGTTATTGAAGACTGTCCATCTGAAACCAGCATCTGTTTGTGCTCTAGTTTCTAATTTGCAGTGTTAAGAGAAGATGGATAGTTAGCTGTTTGACAAATGTCAGGCAATGTAGTTCCCCTGGGAAATCAATATAGCAGACGCCTTGCTTGACCCAGAGGAATAAGGCAAAGGCATGCAGAAGGCAGGTTGGCTAGTTTATTGGCATGTGTGTTAAGTATTTGCTACCCAAAAACATTAAGGAATGATTTTGATAAGTCTACACATAATGGATTAAAAATTTCATTTCTTGTTGTGAAAGGGGTTTGGCAAACAAAAGAAAGTAGACAAGATATTGCCCTAATGTGAAAACAGGACAGTTCCTTAGGAAGCAAATACTTGGATACACTTTTATTTTTAATCTTGTGAAAAACCCCAGGAAGGATGGATCTATATTAAAGGCTGCCAGTTTACTTCTTCTATGGTCTGATTTAATCTCTAACTGAATTGAGAATTTTAATTGTGGGCAAGGTTTGAATGATTTCCACATTACAGGTAGTTCTCGACTTACAACAGTTCATTTAGTGACTGTTACACTAGTGACTAGTATTTAATGACTGGCACTAAAAAAACGACTTATGACCATTTTCCATACATATGACCAGTATTCCCATGGTCACATGATTTAAATTTGGCTACTACACAACTGACTCACTTTAATGGTTGCAGTGTCTTGGGGTCTCATGATTACCTTCTGACAAGCAGATTCATTTAACAACTATATAACTAATTTAAGAACTAAAGTGATTCACTAACAAATGTGTCAAGAAAAGTTGTAAATTGGGGCAAAACTCACTTAACAAATTTCTCACTTAGCAACATGAATTTTGGCTCAATTGTGGTCGTAAGTTGAGGACTACCTGTAATACCAAGAGGACAACAAATAAACCGTCAGGCCCAAAATAAAAAAGGACATGTGGCAATTCTTCCAAGGTGAGTTCTTTATTATTTCACACCTACAGACAAAACCTTGCCAGACTAAGGATTCTACTATCTGAATTTACAATATACTCTGAGAAGTATTAGGAAGGTGCTGTCTTTGTCCTCTTTCTCTCACACATAATATCTAGGCTAAGTTGCTAAGTTGCCCCTTACTCTTCTGGAATGCACCCTCTCTCTCCTGGGGATCCATCTCTCACTACATTCCATCGCATAAACTGCATGCAAACATAGAGGAAGTTCTCAGAGATATATATTTTACTAACATTTCAAAACATTTACACAGAAAATACAAGAATATTTGATTTGTAGCTATAGAGATATTTAGTGGGTTTTTTTAACAAAGGTAAAATAACTACCTTAGAGCAAATATCTGTGTAAAAGACTATGTACAATAGAGTTTGAGCAAGATCAGATAAATAGTTCTAAGTAAAAACAGACATGTTGTCACTAATTCTGCATTTTTGAATCAGAAAAGAGTAAAGCTTTATCAGAGGCAGAAAGGGAACAGTCTACAAAAATCAATTTGGCTGACTATTCACGAGTGATATAGTGGTTACTAAACAGTTGTCTATAGGTCTCTGCTGCGGCCTCTCTGAAATGAGGCAATTGCCAAACAGGATGAAGACATATGACAATGTTTTAACATCCCTTCTGCAGAAGAAGCGGTTGCAAAGAAAACTTATCATATCCTTAATAGGGCTTCCTTAGTAGGCAAAATTGAAGAGATTGACTGGGCAACAAGAGAATCTGAAGAGGTCACACCGAAGGGGTGAGAATCATCAGAAGGCAAGCAAATCACAATGGGAAACAATTAAATCAGGCATACTGCTTCTGAATGCACACAATTCTATCATCAATAATAGCATCTAAAAGGCTACTTTCAACAAATGAGAAGTATTTTTGCCTTATTTTACATAGTCCTCAATAAGCCCAAGCATTAAAGTCATGGATATCAGAAGAATTCAGTTTGTCAAACAAGACTTTACACCACCAACCGCTACATATTTGACAGAGTGGGCTTGCTGACTAGTCACCTAGAGACCATATCATATTAAAAGATAATCACAGAGCATACAACGGCACATGCTAAGAGAGTATATTTCTTTTGAGCAGTGAGGAAATCAATACATTTTATAGAATCCAAACAGATACTGTGATTTTGCACTGAAATGAAAAATGCTAGTGTATCATTTTCAGAATAACTGAGAGATTATTTATTTATTTATTTATTTATTCATTCATTCATTCATTCATTTTTTTTTTACAGTTCCGAACTATCTGTCTCCCCCAGAGAAGGATTCTGGGCAGGGTACAACAATTAATTAAATTAAATTAAGTTGACTCTGAAACAGAAGTTGTAAGATATTCTGTATCCATGCTTTGGTAGGACTAGCAATAATAGATTTATTATGGATATAATGGTATTTATCTTCCATTTTATGATGAATACTGGAGAGAGATATGACAAAGTCCACCAGTAAGTTTAAAGCTAAAATCAGGCATGTCAGAGCGCATTGTCAGCAAGGAGGCAGGCAAACATAAATAATATGTAAAATAAATAGCCTAACAGAAGCAATAAATCAGCTTTATGTTCTCTTCTAGCAATATGTTGTTAAAAGTAGAGAACAAAAGAAAGCCTTGGAAATTTTGATGGGGTGAAGGCAACAGAAGACGAGTGGCAGCCTATGATCATCAGAGCTGAAGAAAGCTCTGTACAGCAATTTTAAAAAAATCTAAACTGTCTTTAGCATTATCTATAAAGCAGTATAATTACTTGCATCTAAAGCAGGCTTCTCCAGATTTTTCGGTGCTGCAAATCCCAGAATTCCCAACAGCAAATATAGGGAATTGCAGTTCAGATTTATCTAGGAAAAAGCTGTTCTAGGGAGCAAGTCCCACGGGTCCTGGATCTATAAAGGAATTTTGTGAAGAAATATTTCATTCATTTCATTTCATTTATTGAATTTCTATGCCGCCCAATCCTGGAGGACTCTGGGCGGCTTACAGAAATGAAAACAATTGAAAAGAATTATTAAAAACAATTGGACACAACAAGGTTAAAAAGGGAAACACAACAAACACCCAATCAGGAGGGAGCTGGACAGCCCCAGGCCTGCCGGAAAAGCCAGGTTTTAATGGCTTTGCGAAAGGCCAAGAGAGTGGGTAGGGCCCGGATCTCAG